TTGTTAGGTAGTAAGAGGAACATCAAATCATGGAGGTTATATATAGTTTATCATTTTAAAATTTTTTCTCTAAAAATTCTTAAAAGATTCAATATAATATGGCTTGTACCTTGAACTCTTGTTTTCATATCAGTCTCTGGCACCAATCCTGTCTCAAAATGGAGGTAAACAAGTACTTTCAGGCAGGGATTTGAGTGTTGCTTGTCCTAGTTTAGAGGAACTGAGCTCCTGATTTCCTAGTTTTGGCCTTGGGGTCTCATCCTTAATTTTGCAGTTTCTCAGTACCTGGTTCCTTCCTGTCAACCTATGCATGAGACCTTTTCCTGTCACTTCAATAGCTTACCCCAGAACTGCAAAGCATGCTGTCCTAAATCACTTAATGCAAGGCCTCGTTATAATGCTTATTCCCCAGACTCTGTCTGGTACAGAGCTCTGCTATTAACTCACCTAATGGTTGTTTACTGCTAGAATGTCATGAAATTAAACTAATATTAGCTGGTCATAACGGTGCATGTCTGTAATCTTGTCACTCAGGGGGCTGAGGCAGAAGGATTGCTGTGAGTTCGAGGCCAGCTTAGGATATAAAGTGAGTTCAAGGATGGCCTGAACTGCATAGTGAAACCCTGTCTCAAAAAGACCAAAGAGAAATTAAGCTAATATTAACCAAAATCTAGGCCTAATTAGTTGCTAAAAATGAGAATAATTTCCATGTGTCCCCAGATGAGCTCTATAAAGTTTACTGGTGGTCTCTGAGTGATGGCCAGTTCCAGTAAGATGAAGGTAGCCATCAGTACATTTCTAGACAGTGTCAAGCAGATGAAATTTTGTTCTGTATTAGATGGAATGTGGTTCTTTTATTTAGACTCTCAGGAAGGCCACTTGGTAGAAAAACTTCTGTGTTGTACCTTCTCTATTGTATAATGTAATACTCTAAATCAGCATTTAAACTTGTGAAGCCTCAGCTATATAGTGAAATCCCGTCTTAGACAAAACAAAAACACAAAAAAACTCCAAACAAGCAAACAACAACAAAACTGATAAAAAAGAATCTAAAACACTAGTGAGAAAAGTACATTATGAATCATGAGTATATTTTAAAATACATTTTTTATTTTTAATTGACAAAGTATAAATATTTGTTGTATAGAATGTGACATTTTAAAAAGGGTAACTGACATTTATCACCTTAGATACTTATTGCTTGTGTTTGAAATATTCAAAATCTTCAACTCAAGCTCTTTTGAATTATTCAGTTGTTATCAACTATAATTATTTACTGTACTACAGAATAAAAGATTTATTCCTAGTATTCAACTGCATGTCTACATACCCACCAGCCTTCCTTTCTATATCTCTTACTTTGCAATAACCCTCCCAGACTCCAGTAACTACTATTTGATTACTTAAATGAGATCAATTCTTCTATATTCCGTAAGAGTGAGATCATGTAGTATTTATTTTTATATATGTGGCTTACTTTACTTAACATAATAATCTCCAGCTTCACCCATGTTTCTTAAAGTCAAAAGTTCATTCTGGCTGAATAACAGATTTTTTTCCCATTTATGCATGCATCAGTTGTTGGACACTAGGTTGTTTCTGTTTCTTGTCTATTCTGAATAGTGCTGCAATAAGTAAGGGAGTGTGAATGTCTCTTCAATATCCTGATTTAATTTCCTTTAGATATACCAGTAATCAGACTGCTGCATTACACTGTAGTTCTAGTTATAATTGTTTTATTGTGTCTCCCAGGATTTTAAAAATTTCATTATTAGTTTGTAATGATTGCATTCATCAGTTGGGCAGTTGGTATGTATACATAACGTATCTTAATTATTTTTACATCCTTCTCCCTCTATTCCCTCTCTCCTCCCTCCATTTCCAAGGTCTTCTTACATTTGTAAAAGATCTATCTCCCTGTGTTATTATCTATTTCTTTGCCTTTTATTTATACTTAGGCTTCATATATTAAGCAAAATCATGATATTTAAGCTTGAGTGTCTGATTTATTTATCATTTGATTTCAAGGTATATCAATTTCCCTACAAATGACTCAAATTTACCTTTATTTACAGTATAGTACTCTATTGTGCATAAGTACATTTTCTTTGTATATTGATTTATTGATGGATCCATAGACCACATCCAAGATTTAGCTATTATGAGCTGTGCTGCTAAAAATGGGTACGCATTATAACTTTAAGTCAGGAAGAGATATAGAAGGGGGATAGCTGCATCAAAGTGAATTTCTATTTTTATTTTTTGAGGAATCTTCATATTGACTTCCATACTGGTTGCACTAGTTTATATTCCTACATACCATGTAGAAGGGTACTTTTCTTCCCACAGCCTTGCAGGCATTTGTTTCTAATTTCTTGATAAGAATCATTCTTTCTGGAGTAATATGGAACCTCAGTGCTTTTTCAATTTACAATTTCTCTAATTGCCAAATAAGTAGATCGTTCTTTCATGTACTTATCAATCATTAATAATTTATATTTCTTACAAGCTCATTCATTTCAGTCGCTCACTTTCAAAAATTGGGTCTTTTATTTTGGGGAATTTAATTTTCTGAGTTCTTCATATTCTCTATATATTAGTCCTCTTTCCAGGAGTAATTAGGAAATTTTTTCACCATTCTGCATGCTGTCTTTCTGTTGGTTATTTTGCTGTATAGAACCTTTTAATTTGACATAATCCCATTTGTTGACCTTTAATGTTATTTCTTGTACAATATTCAGATTCTGTTCAGAAAGTTTCGGCTTATGCCTATTTCTAATAGATTAAATGTTTCTAAGATAATATTTAGATGTTTGAGTCATTTTGATTTTAGTTAAGTACATGTTGAAAGATCTAGATCTAGAGTCAATCTTTTACATCTGTATAGTCAGTTTTTCTAGCATCACTATCAAAGAGGTTATTTTCTAGTATATTATGCCTCTTTTTAAAGATTAGAAAGTCTGGCTTAGGTTATTTTGGTATCCTCTATTTTTTTTCAATGATCCACAGGCCTGTTTTTGAACCAACTATACTGTTGTAATCACTGTTGCTTTATAGTATGTCTTCAAGTCTGGGATTGTGATGTTACATATATTGCTTTTGTTACCCAGGATTGCTTTTACTATACTGGATCTCTTCTAATTCCATATAAATTTTAGGATTTTTTTTTCTCTAGCTCTGTGAGAAATGTTGGTATTCTGATTGGAACTGCATTAAATCTGTACATCAGTTTTTGAAGGATAGCCATTTTGATTATCTGATTTCTGCCTATCCAGAAGTGGGGTTATTTTTCTATATTCTAATGTCTTCTTTGATTTACTTTTCCAGTCTGATGTAATTTTCATTGTAGAAGCTTCCTTGGTTAGGTTAATACCTAAGTACTTAGTTTTTTTCAACTACTATGAATGTCACAGTTTTCCTAATTTAGTTTTCACTAAGTATCAGTGTTTAGAATGCTATTGGTTTTTGTGCATTCATTTTGTATCCTGCTACACTTCAAAAATTTGGTTATCAATTCTAGTTTTGTGAAGCTTTTTTTGGGGGGGGGTTGTAAGGATCATATAATTTGCAAATAGTGATACAGTATTTTGACTTCTTCTTTTCCTATTTTATATCTGTCTTACTTCTTTCGCTTGCCTGACTGTCCTGGTTAATGCTTTAAGCACTCTCTTCAACAGAAGTGGTGACAATGGACACCTTTGTCTTGCTCCTGTTACTGAATTTTGTGAGAAAGCTTTTAACTTTCCCCCATTTAATATGATAATGGAAGTCTACTGGTCAAAATTATTTTATTTAAGATATTAATTATTAAGATAATTATTATGATATTAAGATATTAATAAGATATTAAGATATTAATTATTAATATTATTAATTATTAAGATAAAGACTTTCTATACCTATTTTCTTCTAAGCTTTTAACATGCTGGATTTTGTCAAAGGCCTTTTCTCCATCTATTTAGATAATCACATGACTTGTGTCCTTGTTTTTGTTTAGGTAATTAAATATATTTATCAATATGCATGTGTTAAACCATTCTTGCATGCTCGGGATAAAACCTACTTGGTCATGGTGTACCGTCTTTTTGATGATGTGTCACATACTACTTCATAGTATCTTAATGATTTTTGCCTCTGTGTTCATTAGAGCAACTGGCCTATAGTTGTCTTAGTTGGTTGGATTCCTGTCTGGTTTGGGGATCTGGATAATGGTAACTCTCATGAATGATTCTGAAAGTACTCCTTCCCTCTCAATTTCATTAAAAGTTTGAAGAGTTATTGTTAGATCTCTCCTGCAGTTCTTGTGGAATTTGGCTATGAATCCATCAGGTCCTGAGCTTTTCTTAGTTGATAGTATTTGTGTTGTTTTACTGCTTCAATTTCATGTCTGTTACTGGATCATTCAAAATTTTTAAGTCTTCTTGGTTCATTTTGGAAATTCGTATTTATCTTGGGCTCACTCCATTTCTTCAGAGTTCTCGAATTGTTTGGTATACCATATAGATTGGCAAAGTAGTTGCTAATCATTTTCTTGAGTTTGGTAGTGTCCATTGCAATTTCACTTTTTTCATTTCTAATTGCATCAATCTTTGTATTTTTTCTTTTTTTTGGTAAGATTGGCTAAGGATTTGTCCATTTATTCTTTTAAAGAATCTCCTCTTCCTTTCTAAGCAGCTTGAATTAGCTTGTAGTTGGTGGTTTACGACTTTATTGAGCTTAAGGGTTTTTTTTTTTTTTCCTTTTTGGAGATGAACCTCAGTCTTGAATGTAAGAAAGGCAAGCTCTCTGGTGCTGACCCATACCTTTAGTTCATCTTTGGGGTTAATAAATCACCTTGATTTTGGGACCCATTTCTGTTACACTGAGATCACCCAAAACTGGCTAATGTTTCTAGGCCAGTCCCTTTTGCAGGGCTCATGAATATGGGGAATTCTGCATTGGGTGCATGCGCAATCTTACAGTGAGGGTTTTGCAGAGCAACTATGGAGATTTAGGCTTGTATGCCTTGCTAATGATGAGGCCTGTGCTGGTAGGGACAGTGATGATGAATGCCAAGAGCTCTGATGGTGCTGCAGGAAAGAAAGAAAGAAAGAAAGAAAAAGAAAGAAAGAAAGAAAGAAAGAAAGAAAGAAAGAAAGAAAGAAAGAAAGAAAGATTGAAAGAAAGAAGAATCACCTCTTCAATTAATTGACTCTGTATTTTTAGTCTCCATTTCATTAATTTCTGTTTCAGTCTTTTTAATTTCCTCCCTTATACAAGCTCTGGGTTTGGATTGTTCTTGCTTTACTAAGCTGTATCATTAAATGACTTACTTGGGCTCGTTCTATTTTTCTGATGTGGTCATTTACCACTATAAACTTCTCCGGTAGAACTTCTTTCAGTGTGCCTCATAAATTCTAGTGTTACACTGGTATTATCATTTAAATCTCAGAACTGTCTTCTTTCTTAATTTCCTCTGTGACTCACTCATTATTCAACAGTGTGTGGTTTAATTTCTATGTCTGTATGGTTTCTTTTGCTACTGATTTTTATTTTCACTATACTATGGTCTGATAATATGCATAAAATTTAGATTCTTTTGCATTAACTTACACATGCTTTATTAATTAGTGTCTATTTTTGGAGACAGTAACATGTGCAGCCAAAAAGAAACGTGTCCTCTGTTGTTGGGTGGAACATGCTCTCTCTATATCCATTAAGTCCATTTGTTCGAAGGTTTGGTTCAACTCTGATGTTCCTTTATTGAATTTTCTGTTAAATCTATTTGTGATAGTGGGGTATTGAGGTCCTCTATTATAATTGTGTTGATGGTTATCTTTTATGTCCATTAAAGTTTGTTTTATAAAGTTGGGCTCATCACAATTGGGTGAATATATATTTGCAACTGTTAACTCTTCCTGTTGAAATGGTCCATAAACCTCATGTAATGTCCTCTGCCTCATTTCATCAGCTTTCACTTGAAATCTTTTTTGTTTGAAAGCTACTCCTACTTGTTCTGTGGTTGCTATTGTGTGGAAAATTGTTTTCCATCCTTTGAGTTTTAGTTTATGAATTTTTCTTTGTGTTACAGGTGTTTCTTGTATATTACATACCAATGGACTTTGTTTCGTTTCATTCCAATGTGTCTTTTGATTGGTGAATTGAGTCCACTTACACTGACACTGATAACTGACAGGGACTGCCTTAGTCCTGTCATTGTATTAATTTCCTATTACTGCTTTGCTTTCTTTTCCTTTTACTCATTTGCTAGTCCTTCTGCTGGATACATTTTACTGGTCTTTTGGCACTGTTAGCTTCATTTATATCCTTCAACAATTTCCTTGAGAATCTTTTGGGCTATCAGTTTGGTGATCAGGAATTACTTTAGGTTTTCTTTATCAAGGAAGTATCTTATTTCCCTACCAATTTTGAAAGATAATTTTGCAGGACATTACAATCTGGGTTGGAAGTTGCTTTCATTAAAAAAGTTGAAACACTTCATTCCATGCTCTCCTTGCTTAAGAACTGTTCAGAAATCTGTTATAATTCAGATAGGTTTTGCTTTATATTTAATTCACTGCTTTTTACTAGCAGCCTTTATTTGTTGTATTTTATCTCCAGTATTTTAATTATTATGTAGTATGGAGTGGATTTTTTTTTTCTGATCATGGCTATTTGAAATTCTGTATGTTTCACTTACCTGAATGTTAAATTCTTTTTTCATGTCCAAAAAGTGTTCTGCTACTACTTGTGTACACAGGATTTTATGCCCTTTGTGCTGTCTTCTATTTTTTCACTAAGTCCAATACTCATAAATTAGTTCTCTTTGAATGATCTAGGAGTTGTTGGATTCACTTTTCATGTTCCTTTGTTGTTTTTAAAGTATCTCTCATTAATCACTGACCACCCTGTCCTCTAGATCTGACACTCTGTCTTCACGCTAGTTGCTTTTGCTACCCATACTTACAGTCAAGTTTTTAATATCCTGGATTTGTGTTTGGAAATTTCTTATGGACTACCATTCTTTTCTATACTTAGCATTCATGTTTTGCATTTCTTTTTTTAGCTTTCCTTGCTGTTTACTAGTGGCTTCTCTGGGTTTCCAAATCATTTGTTTTGTTACAGTCATTATGTGATTAGTTACATCTTCTTTAAATTTGCCACGTACTTTAAGAAGCGGTTTTACAGGGGTTCAGTGGCATAAGCACCTGCCTTGCAAGCAGGCAGTTGTGAGTTTGATCCCTGGTACCGATAAAAATGAAAAAGACAAAAAAAAAAAAAAAAAAAAAGAAGAAGAAGCGGTTTTACTTCCCCTGGGACCCTTTCAGACATATATGCTGGGTAGCATATGATTTCCTCTCTCTCAGTGTCTCCTGTACTGATTTGGGGGCAGTTGGGAGTTTTTGGCATCATTTTGTTGCCTTTTTTTTTTTTCCTATTTGTATTTTTTTTTTTCCTGGAAGGAGGGTTGTTTTTTGTGCTGAGGTTTGCAAGCTATTTTTCCTAGTGCTGCATTCTTCAAGAGCAAGTCACAGTAATGTTTCTGACTCCTGCCCCAAGGCAATCCAGATGTTGGTACAGAGACACAACCAATTGCCAGCCACTATCAGGTTACCTCATCTATAGTAGTAAATTCAGTGAACAATGACATCAACCATCAACTAGATATAGACAAACCCTAGGAATCATTCATGAACAGTCATTCACCAAAATAAAGACTCTGACTGGTGAAGACAGTTAGGCCTTCACTTATACTGATGTATAGTAATTCAGAGCACTGATTTTTGCTGGGTGTTGGCAGCAATGCCAGAGCTCAAACATGATATCAGACTCAGGACTACCTCTTCTGATTTCTCCCACCAAACCTGGCCTCCCACCACAGAATACAGGCCCTGTGATCTTCCTGGTCTGAGCCCAGGCCTCCCAGAGGATATCAAGAGATCTCTATTTAGCTCTCACCATCTCCAAGCCTCTCTTCTTTTTAAAAATTGATTGCTTCGTTTCGACTGTGTTTTGGGAGTGCCTTATATATTCTGGATAGTACCTCATGTCAGATGTGCAGTGACAAGTATTTCTTCTATTCTGTAGGTTGTCTCTTCACACTGATGATTATTTCCTCAGTTGTGAAGAGTTTTTTTTTTTGTTGCTTTTGTTTTTCAATGATGTAATCTCACTTGTCTATTTTTTGTCATGCTTTCAGAGTCTTGTCTAACAAATCCTTACTAATCCCACTGTTTGGAAGTACATTCTTCTACTAGTTTTATAGTTTCATATATATTTACATTTAAATATTTAACTCATTTTGAGTTGATTTTTATAACTGCGAGATAAATATCTATTTATATTCTGTGTGTGAATATTCTATTTTCCTGGAACCATTGACTGAAAAGACTCTTTGTTTCAATATCTGTCCCTAGCACCTCTGTTGAAAATCAGCTGTAGATGTGTGGGCTGACTTCTAGGCTTTTTATTCCATTCCACTGGTCTAAGTATTTGTTTTAAAAGTAGTTTCTTGCTCTTTTAAATGCTATAACATTTTAGTATGTAGTAAAACGTGGGATTCTAACTTGTTCTGTGACTATCCTACAAATGAGCAAATATTTGTAACACATTTTAATTTGATAAATGAGTGATGTCTTTCAGTGTTAGTACATGATACTAAATATCACATGCTCACAAGTGAACCAATGGTTCTTCTCTCTCACTGTGGGATTGTGAGAAGGAAGAGGTCTGTTCTGTAGAGGAGGAGAAAATGGTAGAGAAATTCCTCACTTCAAAAGAGATTAGGGAGATGTGTAAAATGTGGAACAGTGTAAAATTTTGTAGAAAAGTACCACATGAATAAGGCTGTATTGGTGTGGATGATAGGTTCCTTGTTAAAACTGCATGGAAAGAAAAAGGTTTTATTGAGCTAACAGACAGCAGTGATTCCATTAATGTAACTGAATCATCCTACATAATAACTCTCTTCTCTCTCGTCTACCTTAGGCCAGTCACAAAGGTATTTAAGGATAAGTACAAGTTATTTTATTTTTCCTTATATTCTGTACTATAGCATTAAAATCATTTTATGTGTATACTCTGGGTTGTACAATGAATCACGTGAGTTTTCATTGTTTTTTGAGGAAATTCTCTGATACACAAATGCTTTGGTTTATAAGCATGTTTACAGAATAAATTATGCTCACAAATCAAGGTTTCACTGTATCTTAAAGTGAAGTTTTTAATCAGTTTTGCTCACATTCAGTTGAAAAACAATTCAGTCACTTGGCCATAATTAAGTGCAAAGGATCCTAGAAAAGGGAAAACTAAGCATCTATATCCCAACTGTTATGAAAGAAGAAAAGCAATTCTATAACAGTATGTAGACCCCATTACACTAACTTTAAGGGAGAACAGCAAGGACTCACAGAATATAAAGAGCATGGAAGGAAAAACTTACAAAAAATACATATATATTTAAGGGAGATTTCTAAAACTTCTAAAACAATCCACATTTATAGAATTAAAAGCTTCATGGAAGTTAATTTCTAAGTCACTGTCACCAATTTAGCAGGAAATGCTAAACTATATGTACAGTTAACAGTTCCTTACATTTTATCTCCTATAGTAATAATCATTAGTGTCCTTTAGTTTAACTTATGAAAACTAAATTTAATCAATCTCAGGTAATAAGAGTAAGGTTCCAAAGTTTTGCTGTATAATTATAAAATTTTGTTACACCTACACTGAATTGGGTGACAGTTTGCAATGTTCAAGGTATCCAACAAAAATAGCTACAACTATAAATCTAAAATCTAAGCAACAAAAACAAAATGGAAAATATTTTGAAAATATATCTATATAAAATCAGTGTGGAGAGTTCTCAAAAAACTAGGATTGGAGGTCCCATTCAGTCTAGCTATCCCCGTCTGATGAGTATTTTCCCAGGAAACTGAAAACATGCTACAGCAATATATGTGCACCCATGTTTACAGCAGCACAATTTGTAATAGCTAAATCTTGGAAACAACTCAAATGCCATCATCCAAGGAATGGATAAAAAAGTATTATTTTTATACAATGGAGAACTACTCATCTATAAAAAACAATAA